TGTTCGAAGTTTTAAGTAAGTCAATATAGGAAAAATTAAAGTATGATTTAGGATTATAAGTTGCATTGGTTTTTTTTTTTAATCAGATGTTTTGAGTGACAATTAAAAGTACTTTTATGTTGTTATGTATATATTGGCCTAATAAAATATGAAGATTGATATGCCCAATTAGTCAATGTGTAATTAAACTTTTGGACTAACCGCAACCGACCTCTTGAAAATTTAACATTTTCCCTTAACAGTTTTGAAATGCGTTAAGGGTTAGCTTATATAAGCCCAAATCACAGTTTGGTTAGGACATGACTATTATAATCCATTATTGTTCTCGATATTTCCTTGAATTCCTTTTCATTTGTAAAGTTCAAATGTTGAAATAAAATCTGTAATTAGGAGTCAAGCCTTCAATGGAACTAAACATATCCACAATTCAAAAACTTCTAGCTAGAGGTTTTAAGAAACAAATGGCATTTTTTTTTTTTTTTTTTTTTCAGATTTTACAGTTAGAGATATCTCCAACAGATTTCGTGCATTATGATTAAGTCTATTTCACCTCTTATAGGTAAGCTATTTGAAATTCGTTCAACATGACATGAGATTTGGATCTTTGTAATTAAGAAAGGAATATATTCTCTTAAACATTAGGTGAACTTTTTAGATTATGATGCATGTATCGTTGATTAAATCTATTTCTCAATAGACATCAAAATTGGTAAAAAGAAAAAATAATAATAATAAAGATAATTATAGCAAAAAAACAAAAACTTGAAATTTACAATTTCCATTTTATATATGATAGAAAATACCCTCGAGAGAATAAGTACACACAAAATATATGAGTGAACCATGGTAAATACAAATTCTATATGGTAGACAACGAATAAATTATAAATTAGTCCTTCTTTTTTTAGAAATGAATTAATTAACCTTTTCATTGTACAAACTAATTATTTAATCCTTATATTTTTAAATCTACTTGTAGCTTAGTATTCTTATTGCTTTTTTCAATTTATTTTGATTTAAAAAAAAAGTGAAAAAAATGAAAACATATGGAAAGATTGAATAGAAGGAAAATAAAAAAAAAGACATTTTATAGAATAAAATTAATATTAAATTAAGTATGATAAATACTGGCGAAATAGCTAAATAATTTATTTTTTAAATGAAAGAACTAATTTAAAAAAAAGAAAAAAAAAAAACTAGAGAGACTGATTTATAATTTACTCGGTATATAACTCACCACTTGCTAAAAAGTTCTTGTAAATCTCATAAACTAGCCTCTTCTCAAATTCCTCACTCGGATAAATAGATTTTACTTGTCTTGCTTTTGGAGCCTTTTTGTCTCCAATAACACTTGTAGTATTGATTTAACCTCCTCTAGGCATCATGTCAGCAAAATCATTCTTGACCTTGCTCAATAACTTCATAGCTGAAGTAATATTCTTCAGTTTTCTCAACTTGGGCATGACTTTGATCTTCCAAACTCGATGTGGGCTACCTCCAAATCTGATGATATTTATCTTCATTTGGGTATTGGTTGGGCTATCAAGTTGCTGGTATCTCTTCCTTTGCCAATATCTCTTCCACCTACCATAAAATGAGGTAGAAACAAGTACCATTTTTAGTTATTGAGAGAATAGAGAGAAAGGACTCTTGATTTTTTTTTTTCTTTTTTTGATGGGAGGGAGTTGTGTTTTGAATTGTTGAAAGAAGAGCTTGATTTTATTTGGAGATTGGAGGAAGGATGGTTGGTTAGAAAGAGATTAAATGTATCTATAGATTAAATTTATCGATTGATTAGTAAGAAGGATAAGAATCCAAGAAAAATCCTTATTTACAATTTTTTAATCCTTTCAATTTGAATGGATTGACTCCTATCTTTGCATTCCTTTGCAATTGTCAATAATTTCAGTTTACATAGATTGACTCTCATCATTCTCTTTCTTTATTAGCCAAACAACTAAACGAGTGATAAGTTGGCAATTCATTCATCTTTTTTCCTCTCAATATCTTTGGCTTTACCCAATCTATCCGTTCCCTCTGTTCAGACCTCCTAACAAACAGAGCCTAAATGAAATATTTAATTTGAAACATATGGTGCATATTGTTCACATGTGAAAAGAATCAATAATAATAATAATGATCGAGAAAAAAATGGCATTTATGTTGCATTTGGTTCAGGTCAATAAAATCTAGTTAGACAATCGAGTTTTTAAGGTCATAAGAATTAATTAATGGAGCAGCACTTATGGAGCGATCCGGTTGATGAGTTCAACAGTTATTGTATTATCGATTTTTGTTTAATGAGGTACCTCATCTTTAAAACTTTTTAATCCAAACCTTTTACTCTAAATCTGTTAAAATCGTTAGTCTTTTCATCACTAATAGTGTTATTTAACTGTTAACTTTAGAATATTCTTAGAATATACTTTTTTATATTTGGAAAAAGTCTTAAAAATATAAATACAAACAAACTATTAATAAAATCGAAAAATATAAGTCTTGCCAATTTTTTATTTTCTTAATTTTATAATTAAAATGTTTGATACTTTTATTCTGGGACACGGTTACTTTAGGAGCGACTATAATAGTTATGTGTATCATAGAAAGCTATCAAATAGTTCATTTGTATACTTGTTGTTATTTGCTTATGACACGTTGATTATCTTTAAGAATATGCCTGAGATCAAGAGCTTGAAAAATTGGTTGAGAGGAAGGATTTAGGTGTAGCAAAGATATTAGGTACGGAGATTAATTTGTTACCAGAAACTGAGAAGAAAAAAGAGCACATGCCTTGGTGTTCTATATGCTAGTGTAGTTAATTGAGAGCATCAAACGAGATAGTCTACGACCGTCTAAATATTTCACATGCTAATTGTGTGGTTAGCTGGTTTATAGGAAGGCCGTAAAATTGATTGATACTCCATTATATTAAAAGCGTTGTAAATGTCGTCTTGGTTTATGACAAAGATAGAGCACTAGTGGTAGAGTTGTGGGCTATTGAGACTTAGATTACGCTATATTGGCTCAATTTAAATCAATATGGAGATTTATTGGATTTTGTCTTAATTAGATTATGGGTTCAAGTGAGAAAACAATTAGACACATGCATATGTAGACTTAACATGTTAAGATATCCTAACTACAATAGTTTATTGGAGAAGGCAAGAACCTTAGGCCATATAACAGCATAAGATTGTCATATTTTAGGCTAAATCTTATTTATGAGTGCTCATTTTCTATATTTTGGTGACTAAAGAGAAGAGAGAGTCATATTTTAGGCTAAATATTATTTTATTTTGGTGGCTAAAGAGGAGAGTTTGAGAGTGGTTTCTCTTGTATATATGAATAACTTTGTACAGAGAAAATAATATGATTTTTTTGGTTCTTTCTTATATCAAATTAGTTTGTGCATCAGACGAATTTTCATCTAAACAATCTTACAACAATAACACAACAGTGAATTGAAAACTTTTAAAAAATATAAAAATAAAATGACGAATTAGGCCAAAGATTTTATGAGAGAGAGAAGAGAGACTATAGCTTTCTTTAGAGAAAAAGTCATTCCTTGTTAACACTCAAATCATATGATAATAATCTAAAAGAATTAGCTTAGTGATTAAGAATATCTGCTTCCTTTCTTTGTTTTTCGAATGCATATAAACTTATTTCCTTACTTCACTTTTATGTAGTGAATACATAGAAAAACTCAAACTAATTCAATGATGTTATTTGCATTGAAAAAAAAAAAAAATCACGTGACAATTAGGTTTCAAGATACATAGAACATCCATATTAACATATTGCTACAAGCCAAAATTTTTGAGAAATTTTTTTTGATACTCAATCAATAATTAATAATACTTACTTTATAACAGAAATATATATATATATATATATATATATATATATATATATATATATATATATATATATATTAAAAAAAAAGAAAGAGAGAGAAACATAAGAGAGAAAGAATTAAAAAAAAAAAACATTTTGTGTCTAGATGGAAATATTTTTAATACTTTTAATGGGCTCAAATATGATTTTTTTTTCTCTTCTTTTTAATGATGTGTGTCTCTTTCTTGCAAATAAACTCATAAAATAAATATTGATAATTACTCTTTAAATATTTTAAAATTTCTCAATTTCACAGATAGCTGCAAGAAAAATGCTAAAAAGAATAGTGATAACTAGACTGATACATACATTATGCAGCGGTCCAGACACAATAATTTATAAAAAGTTGTTACAATTTATTTATTTATTTTAGGGATAGTAATCCGATAGTTTTGTGCTTAAGCCGACCCTGCCTTTGATCTTGTGCAAATCAATGAACAAACAGCTCGCTAAATAAGTTATTTAAGCCTGACAAATCAGCGTAAATCGCAAGGTCATCATCCAAATACATTGAAACTAAATGTTTATGCTCTTTTGATGCCACAAACATGATGGCTGCTGGTTGGTGAGGGTGATGGCCGATTATTGTAGAAGGGGTAGCTGGTTTTTGTTAATTGGTCATTGTTAATTTGATGGAGTGGCTGTTGGCACAATAAACTAGTAAGATTTATAGTTTCTCTTCTTCTCATTGGTTAAATTATATGCCCAAAAAGGTCAATATTTAACTAAATGTCGAAATTTACATTCATTTATTATTATTTTATTTTTTTATCAAGGAAATTTCAGTTCAATTTAAAGTTGGTCCTAACAAGTATTTAGTCTCTTTATTAGGATTGCATAGGATTGGTTTCAAAGTACACAAAAGCGAGCTCGAAACATCTTTACTGTTTAAAAAAAAAATGATATGACATTAATAAAACCTTTTTCTCAATACATACATCCTAATTGAAAAGAAAATTACAACAAAGAGGAAACTCAAAAAATATCCCAACTTTACAATTTGCCTGGGATGAAGCTAGGAAATACAAATACCTTCATGAAATTAAGGACATATACAAAATATTAATACATCATATGTATATATCCCCTTATAATTAATTGCTCTACATGGTAGATAATTCTCGAGTTGCAAGCAGATTCTTATAAATCTCATAAATCAACCGTTTCTCAAATGCTTCACTAGGATAAATAGCTTTAACCTGCCTGCCTCTTGGAACCCTCTTGTTTCCAAAAACATTTGTTCCATCGACGTTCCCAGCCAAACTAAGCATCATGTTGACATAAGCATTCTTGAGCTTTCTCAATAGCTTAAATGGTGATGCAATATTCTTTAAAATTCTCAACCTGGGCACTGCTTTTATCTTCCATACCCTTCGTGGGCTACCTCCAAATCTTGCTACCTTCATGTTCTTCCGGGCTGTGATTGCCCCGTCAAGTCGCTGGTATCGCTTTCTTCTCCAGTATCTCTTCCAAGAACCATAGAAAGAGGTAGGAGCCAGTTCCATTTTTTGTGCTTGAGAGGAAGAGAAGGGAGTTGTGGATTTTCTTCTTCTTTCTTGATGGGAGGGAGTTGTGAGTTTGTGCTGTGGATTAGTGGGAAAAGAGTGCAATTTATACAAGGGGGAAGGTTGAAACATTTGGAACGCGGTGCATATGGTTGGTTTGCGTGTGAGCTGAACAAAGAAAATATGTCATTGCACATCACACATTGAGGGAGGTCAATAAAAGCCGGTTAGATCATCAAGTTGAACTTATGACAATTATTTGGCCCACTATTAAAGGTTGTTCATTTTGACTTTTGTTGAAGGCACGAATTAACAATGTATCCTGCCAAACTTATACCTTCAATAGCTTCTCTTTTTTCTTTTCTTTTTTTTTTTCCATTGAAAACCTGCCTAACACTTTAAATTTTGAGTTAAAATGATTTTTTTTTGACATACTATTATTTTTTTAATTTAGGTATTTTCGTTAAACATGGAAATAGAAATGATTATATTTAAAACAAGAGCCGTTATTCTTAACAAATGCAATTCAAATATTCAAATTTTACACATTAACAAAAAAATTTCACCAACTTTATTTTCTTTTCTATTTAAAAATATAATGTTATAAAATAATATAAATTATATTTCAAAATCTTATCTAATTTTTTAATTAAAAAAATCTTTTATAATATGAAAGTATTGAATGAAGATAGTGTGAACAGAGAGATATGCCATTCATTAATAGGACAATTAAGTCACATGGCCGTTGTAATATTTTTACCAAAAAAATATTTTCTTTATTCATAAAAAAATAATTAAAAAAACTGTATACATTGAAAATTAACAGTCATGGAATGTCCATTCACTATGTGATTTTGATCAAATCAACCCCTTTATTATAAGTTTTGCCAAATCAATCCCTCTATTTCTAGTTTTGAAATACATAAACCCCTCAATCCATCAATTTTCAGTTGACTAATTGAACTAATTCAATGAATCTGGTCATACAACAAGTCAATCATTAATGAAAAGTGATAATTGATTTTTCTGAACCCAAAATTAAGGGGAAAACACTTTGAGGGATTCTAATGTAGAATTAAAAAATTTTAAGGACTAAAATAATAAAATAAATCCAAAATAATTAAACTTGAAATATTAAACTTCTCTTCTCGTTCTATTCTTTTCTCTCTCCCTCTTTTGGTTGAATACATATGCGGCCTTTCATGCTTCCAAATATTAGAAAGTCAATGAGGCCTTTTTGTTAGAAACCATTTTTTTTACCATAAAAAATATTTTTAAATCAATTTATAAGAATAGCAAAATTTTCTTTCACGATAGATACCCAACAAATCCTGATCCAATGAGGGCAGGTGTGAGGGGCATTTTCCTATGATATGCAAAACATGCGCCTCCCTCTCTCCGCAAATATATATATATATATATATATATATATATATATGGTCTTTTGTCAAGCATATTGAATAATTGATTTTTTAAAAATAAATTTGTTGTTAAATTTACAATTATCTATATTCAACTATCTATGAGAATTGCAATAAAACTTAATATTTATTTTTTTATTAGATATTAAGTATCAAATATTAATTATCAATAAAAAATATTTTTTATTGGTGGAAAATCTTTGAATTCGACCCAAACCCAATGGAAAAAACTTTACCCCTCATCCTGAAGCCAATTAATACGGAGCAATAACACGGAGGTATAATATGCTCCATTGCCATCCCTGTCAGCTTGCACTTATATCGAAATTAATTTTTTTTTTACCATTTTAAATGTATATCGTTCACCTTGATTTGGTAGTAAAAAAAAAAAAAAAGGAATCCTCATGCACATTGAAAATATATACTCATGCATCATCAAACCAATTTCTTGCCATAAACGTATATGGTTGGTAGCACGATGGCGATGGTTGACCGGTTGTCTTCCTCTCCCAGGTCTCCCTTAGGTTGCTAATATATAGTATTTTATTTTATATATTTTTTCTGTAGATTAGATGAAAGAGATAGGGAGTCCATGCTATACGAGATAGCATAGGAATTTGATAGGAAATGGGTCCAAAACATTTTATTATAACTATTTTCAGAGTGCCATAAAAATATTCTTGAGTGGTCATCAAGTATTAACCAGCTTCGAGAAGAACAGTAGAGCTTGATGGTTTTAACAATAAAGTCAAAACACACACACACACACACACACACACACACACACACACACACACACACACATATATATATATATATATATATATATATATATATATATATATATATAGAGTAAGAAAATAAATTGGAATCCTCCAAATGATTTTGGAATTGGTCTGAATTGTCATAAAAAAATTCAATTACTAAAGACTCGTGATAGAAAGGGTTTTTTTTTTTTTTTTTGGCGGACCTTTGTTTTGTTTTTTCTTTTTTTCCTCGCTTAAATATCCAACCGTTGATTCCTCATGAATTGCTATCTAAATTTTGATTTTTTATCCGTTTTGGTATCCGAGTTCACATGAAATCAAATTTTGCTTACATGTCCGACGAGATCTATCATGTGACAGTAAAAAATGCCATGTGATAGTCAATTCTACCATGTTAGCACCTCATACTCTCATATAGTTTTGGGCATTTAAAGAGAAAAAAAAATCAAAAGTTAGGCATTGAAACAAAAATAAATAAATAAATAAAAATAAAGATTGGGTACCAAAAATGTAGTTTTTTGATTTGAGCGTTTGAAGTGTAATATTTTTTGTAGTGATGAGAATAATGATAGAGGTAATAAGTAGACTGTGAATTAAGTCAAAAGGCAAATGCATTGTTAAAATTGCTTGTGCAATTAGCATAATAATAAAAGAATATGCATATATGTAATTATTGATATTTGTATAATTTAAAATTATATAAATTTTAATATCCAAACACATTGAGATCATATATACATATATATATATATATTACGGAAGTACAAGAAGGAGATAGATATTTGGCATAAGAAAACTGAAATAAATTTCTTAAGAAAACTATATTTTTTATGTCTAGCCATTGATATTTTTTTTTCTATTTAGGTGCACAATCTTTAAATTTTTTTTTCTGTTTTAATGCCTAAACTTTGATTTTTTTTTTCTATTTGAGTGCCCACGACTATCTCAAAGTATGAGGTGCCGATGTGATAAAGTTGACTATCACGTGGTAAATTTCATTGGACACATTAGCAAAATTGAAACTTAGGTGAACTCGGGCACTAAAACAAACAAAAAATCTAAGTTTAGGTAGCAAATAATGAGAAATCAACGATTGAATGCCAAAGCATAAAAATCAAAATTTGGATACAAAAAGCCTTTCTCTCTAAAAAGTGCTATATCATGAGAAATTTAATTACATACTCAAAAAATATAAATTATAAATAAAGGAAAGTAGATGAATAGCATCGTGAAGAATGACATGGACATGGTCGGGATTAAAATGACGCAAATGCATGGCTTGAATGAGAGTTTGCGCATCTTCTTCAATAATAATTTGTTGATGCATGAACTTGATCGCTCGCGACAATACGAGCTCCTTCCCTAAGTGCAAGAGCTTCCGTTGCGGAGGCATCCAAAGCACGAGGAAACTAAGCCCAAGGAACATATAAAATACTACCCAACAAATCCTTCCTTCGTAGAGTAAGTAGTCTATGTTATATATCGGTATATTTCTCCCGCTATCACTCTTTAAGATTGAAAGAGATGCATTAGAGAATTGATTTGGACAATGGTTTGATTGCCATTACATGATCGATGTAAACGAAAGGACGTTTAAGTAATATAATATTATGATACCATATATAAAAGATTTAGGGATTTTGTGAGAATGAATGGATTATATTTTCTATTAGTGCTTTATTTATGCTAAAACAAATCTCTCGTCGTAGATAATTCTTCCTCGGATAATTCCGTTTGAGATAAATCCAAGTTACTTTCAACAACCTCAAAGAAATCATAACCATTTACTATTATTAGACTAAGATGATATTAGCTAAATATTATTTGATAAAACTCTATTCTCTCGCTTTCTATCATGTAAATCATATCGAGTTTACTCGTATATAGAGTACTATGTAGCTTACACTTATCACATTATAAAAGGACGAGTTAAAGTCATACAAGTAAAACATTGAGAGAACTCAACTCAAACTCGTTTCTTTAGTCTCAATTTGGTATCGGAGCATTAAGGCGACGACTATTGTTTCTTTCTTTACGAGAGAGAGAGAGAGAGAGAGAGAGAGAGACAAAAGTTAAACATATAGTCTCCTCTCCTCCTAACTTTGTCGTTTCTTCCCTCGGCCCTAAGGCATTCCTCTCATTTCTTTCTTTACAAAGAGAGAGAGAGAGAGAGAAGTTAAACGTATAGTCTCCTCTCCTCCTAACTTTGTCAATTTTTTCCCTCATAAAAAAATAAACTATCAAATTGCATATCTTTCTTTTTTTTCTTTCTTCCGGCAAAAAATGGCCTCCTCAAGCAACATATCCTCTCCCACAATTGGCAATCCATCCCAAACTATGAACCCACCATAGCCAATGAGTCAACTTACAAACTCTCACCACTTCATCCTTCTCAAACTCACCTAAACCAATTTTCTACTTTGGCATGTCCAGATGAAACTATTTCTCCTACACCAATGCTTATTTGGCTTCATAGATGGGAGCAACCCATGTTCTCTCAATCACTTAGCTACTACAAAATCACATACTCCTTAGGTAAATCCCGCACATCAAGCATGGATCTAATAGGATCAACTCCTTATGAATACTCTCATAGCTCTCTCTCTCTCTCTCTCTCTCTCTCTCCATTGATGTTCGCGCATGATCATCAATTGGTCTACTTCTTATGATGTTTAGAGTGTTCTTAAGAGTGCATTACCCTCTCCTTCGAGTACCGAATCATGACCATTCACCTATCTTTGCAAAAGCCATAGCAGGAATTGAATGAATCAATGTATGTCTTCTTGCATCATGCAAAATCTCATGCCTGATG